TGCTCCAGTCTCTCTAACAAACGGGTGCCACAAAGCAGCACAGAAATCCACGTTTGTTCCTCAGAAGGGGCTGTGAGTTGTGCCAAGGCAGCAGAAATAGGTGATAATATGATGCATAACACAAGCCTTGATGTCATCATTGATCCTTCAACCACCGCTGCAGCCTCCAATGAGTCAGAGGAACCCTATGATCAGGTGGCATTTTCAGAGCCCCAAGACAGAATGGAAGTAATCCCCCCTACCACGGTTTCTCAGCATGATACAGAATTTCTTGAAAAGACTCCTACCTGCAGCTCTCCTGTTGAGCAAGCTGTGTCAGGGAGTTCTGATCCCATTCAAGGATCCCAGGAACCAGAGAAAATTTGGATACAAGCCTTCGAAGATGCTGCGTCACTTACTGAGAACAAACAAGTGAGCACACAGGATTCCTTCAGGTAAAGACAAGAGCACATTCATACAGTGTATAAAACTGTAATATGCTGATCATTTTAGTGGTCATGGGGAACTAAGTGGTGGATCAGATTTTTTTTTTTTTTGTGGTTAGATTCTCTAAATATTTCTCACAGTACTGTTTCCCCTAAATCACTTTATCACTGTGATTACATAATGTAAGGTGCTATTCAAAAGTTGCATTACTGTGCTCCAGCTGTTGGTAGCTTCAGTGCTATATGGCAGCCTTAAATAAGGACGTATTGTTGAAGTTGGCATCCGATTTACACCTTGTAAATTGGCACCTCACTTAAGTAGTACATTTATAACACTTAATGGAATACTATCTTTTATATGTAAAACCTTTATACTAATGTGAAAGTAAAAAAAGGTTGATGTTAAGGTGTTTTTTTGATTGTCATACAGCTTGCAAATTACCTACATAGGGGAATTACTCCAAATAATGACTTTTAACTTTTGAAAGCCTAAGCCCCACTTCTAAATGAGTGGAGAAAACTTTAGCCACTTTATACCCCAGATGGCATTTTATGGAATTTATCATTAGTTTAGGTTCTGTCCAATTATTTTACTTTTAAACATGACCCATTTAAATTGTTGAAGAAGCCTCATAAATCCAGTTTATTGAAATTTCATGAAAAGAATAAAAAGGTTTCTGAAATGACCATCTGTATTTTATAAAATCTCTTTAATTAAGGAATTTGGGAAGCAGAGAAAAAAGCCTGCTAAGGTCTCTCCAACTGTATAAATAACTTTAAAGACTAGAAATACATCCAGGCCAGCTGGATTTTCTCTTATGTTTATAGCTGTAGAATAATCAAAAGCAATATTGAATGAGTAAGTCCTTTTGTCTCTTTTTTTTAAAGACCTTTCAGATCTCTGAGCCAGGCAGGTATTCAGTTTACTTTTAGTTTTAAAAGGTAACAAAAAAACAACCTCTTACATCATCAGTACTGATGAGATGATGTCTTTTTTTTTTTTTACGCAAACAATTCATTAATTTATCATGCAAAACAAAGCTATTAACTGTTTTACAGAATAGGTGTGTTCAATCAGACATGGCAAATTGTTCATACACATTCTGGAAATGCTCTCAAAAATGTGCCCCAAACGTTTTTAAATGTATCAGGAGATTGTTTGGGTGAGTACAAAATATTTTCAAGATTTAAACGAGACATTATAGAGCACAAGCATTGTGAATGAGATAGGTGGGGAGGCGTCTTCCAATTTGAGTAAGAATGTACAACGTGCCAGCAGTAAGGAAAATGCTATGGAATGTTATCTAGCAGTACTTCAAGTACCCCAAAAAGGGCCACTAGTTGTTTTAGTTGCAGTTTGGTATTAAATACACAAGATAATGTTCTAAATATTTCTTCCCAGAAATCATTCAAGCTAGGACATGAGAAGAAAATATGGTTGAGAGGCCTCCACAAGATTACATCTGATGCACAGTGGACTGACTGCAGGGTACATAGAAGGCAGCTTAGCTTTTGAAATATCAGCCCGCTGTACGACCTTAATTTGGATCCACCGTCGCCATGCATAGAGCGAAGATGGGTTAGCTATTCCTAGAGCAGAAAAGAGGGTTGTGAAAGAAGCCATTTATGTTAAGAGAAAAATCCACCTTAAAAAGAGGGGGTGGTCTCAGCTCTCAAAACCTACAATGCAGCAATCGGTCTCCGCCAGTCACGTGACTTTTGTTGCTAAGACGCCATTTTAGGTGGAAAAGGCGTGGTGTAAACAACCGCAGCATAGCTAAACTAAGGACTAAAGACCTGTTTACATAGCAGCCTGTCCAAGATAAGTCATTACAGTTAACATAAGCCTGAAAACAGGGGCGGATTTAGGAAAATCGGTCTCCACCAGTCACGTGACATTTGTTGCTAAGACGCCATTTTAGGTGGAAAAGGCGTAGTGTACCGCGCCCGAGGTAAACAATTGACGTCACTTGGCGGAGACCGATAGAGTTTGATTCCTTCCCCCTATCATCTCAGCGCTCATCGCCTGGTCAGCCAGGCCAACAATGACCCTAACGACTACCTTTTCAGAGGCATAGGCCAATATCGGGATTTGACAACCAAAAACAACCTCAACGACTCCCCATTACTAAGGGCTGGACCTGTTGTTTTGGTTCAATTTACATGTTTTCTTAGCCAAAACAAGGCTTTGTTGGGCTAATCTATGAAGCTTTGGAACTCATCACTTATCCAGACAGTTTGAATTGAGAAAGTTTCCTTGATGGGAAGTAAAACGTCTACATACTTGGAAAACAAAGTCCAGTGGTTTGTGTTTTTTTTTTTTTTTTTTTTTGGAATGACTATGACCTGGATGACTGAGAATCGTCACCAGCAAATCAAGCATTATGTAATTCAGCTTAGAAAAAAGTTGATGGATTTAATGACAGAACAAATCCATTGTTAGTGTCTCTGTGGTAGATGTGAGGTTTGGCAAGTAAGAAGGGTGAAAGTGACGTACTTGGAGGTAAAATCTGTTTTTAAAAGGTTAAATTCGTCTTTCAGCTTGGCAAATGATGCTATAGTATAGTAGATATTCAAAATGAATTATACAGTTTTGGTGGAAACCCGAATTATCTAATTTTCACTGGAAACTCAAATAGATAGATGGCTTTAAACGATGATTAGCAACAACAGGACTGCAAGAGGAAAAATGCAAAGGCCAAATTGTCTCCTTAATCGAGCCCATATCTTCAGTGAATGTTTAATGACCGGGTTTTTAAAAGATACACTGAAGCATGAAGCAAAGCCAAGCTGTCAACAGCCAGAAGAGAGATATTGCTGTGTGGACAGAACTCCATTGCAACCCAGTCAGGACATGCAGGCTTGTCAAAGTAAAAGGACCAATGCACAAGACGAACGCAATTAAAGTTTGGCAAAGAGAGGCCTCCTTATAAATGTTGAATAATGTATACCTTCAAAAAACCCAAAGGATCTATATGAGGATGTAACAGAATCCAGCTGCTGAAAGAATGAACCCAAAATAAAAAAGTTGGTAAGGTTTGGAAAAGGTATTGAAGTTTAGGCAGAAGAACCATTTTAATAGAATTTAAGGTTGACCACTGTGGTAATAATTGTTTCATTTTCTTGTAGTAAAACTAAATTTTCTTTAAAATAACCTTAAATGTTTTTTATTGATGGTGACCCCAAGATAATTAAATTATGTAAATTTAACTTTAAAGCTAATATTGGTCAAGTGTGGAGCTCATGCTGTTTCATTGATAGGAAAAAGTTCACTCCTACTGATGTTCAGCTTGTAGCCCGAGACACTGCTTAAATTACTTGGCAATGCTAAAGCAAGAGGAAGTGATACATCTGGATTAGAAACGTGAAGCAGGAGGTCATCCACGTAAAGGGCGACCCTATGCACCACACTTAAGGGGTACCCTTGTTATGTGCCACAAAGTAAGTTAAAGGGGCTTAATATTTGATAATATTTGTACCAAAGCAAAGAGCAGGCATTCTCAAAATCCAAGACCAGCTGGCTTAGGTCATCAGAGGCTTGCTCAAGTGAAGAGATTTGTTGGTTGTCCAAAGATATTTTATATTGGTCCAATTTGGCATCAATTATATCAAAAGATGCCTTAAAATTATCCAACAGCTTTTGCCGTCGTTCCTCAAGTAGTGCGGAAAGGGTGTCAAGTGCAAGACCAGGCCCAGGAGCAGTAGTGCTGCTAACCTCCTTGTCCGCAGCTTTCGTTGTTCAGAGGGCATTTTTGGGTCACTTTGTCTGGCATAGTGATTATCAAAGGGTTATGACCCACAGAAGAAACACAGGGCTGAGAGGTATGAGGGCTAGAGAAATGAAAAATAACAATACGTATGGCGCACTATTAGCACATGCCTACTTCATTGTCTTGCCAAACAGAAGTCCCAAGATGTCTTTTATGATACTTATTTATTTTTATAAAAATAATGTATAAAATTTTTTTATCTACTATATTGATATCATTTAATTACCTGTATAGTTTCTAACACACACACAAAAAATGACTGAACATGCATATTTTATTTTATTTTTTTACAAAAGAAACGGTTACTGATAATAGCATAAAGGAACATCATAATAATCATAATATTTGAAATCTGAATTATTCCCTTTTAATATCTTTGCTTCCATGTAGACATTTTTGTTAGCATTTTTGTTTTTAAATAAAACTCAAAGTAACACCATCTTCAGGCCTTGTTTGGTGCAATATTGTGTAGCACAGAGTAACAATGAATGTCAATGAGGATGTAAACACAGAGCTGCACTTTGTATTTGAAAGGAGCTCAGTCATATGACTCTGCCAGTTGAACTCTAATGAAAGTGAAGCAGCCCATTATATTCAAAGGATGACATCAGCTGTGACATGGTCCCTGATCCCCAGGGAGAGAATGAGCCTCTTCTCACTCAGACCACACCTTCAACATTTCTGCATATCCTGCCTCACCAGGGCGGCACAATCCCACTGCAAAACACTTCTGTTATTTGTTGGCATATTTGCTGCTAAATAACAATGCCATTAACCTTTTCTCCTTCCATTGTTCTTTTTCCAGCCCACTCCCATCTCTGGACTCTCCTCAGGTTGATTTTTTAACTCCCAGTGAGGAGATAGCTTCTCCACCGAGATCCGAGGACACAGTCCCACCAGAAGAAGCAGAAGAAAAGGCAGCACTGAGCTCATGTCTGAGTGCTTTGCAGAGGCCAGTAAATCTTCCTCAACCTTTAGAAAAGGTCGTACCTTCTGAACCAACAAAACATACAGCCAATCTGACAACAAAGACTGAGATTCAAGAAGAATCATCTGAAAAACCAAAATCCTTAGAGTCAGAATCATCTCAAAAGCTTTTAAACTCTGATAGGGAACCTGTCGAAGGGGCAGGAGAGCAGACTAATATCTTCATACCTGCTCAAGAGACCAAAGGGACCCCAGAACAAACAAGAGATGAGGTAGAAACAAGAGAAAGAGGACATGTAGAAGATTTACAACGAAACAAGTCAAGAGCCGAGACTGCAATACAAGAAGAGGAGTTAGAAGAGCCAAATGAAAAACCAACAAAGGTCCTTCCTGTAGAGACCTCTGAAGTCCCAGCTGGGGAATCTGAAGTGTCACAAACAGTTCAAGATCCCCCTACAAAGCTTCAGGACAGTGGGTGAGTTATCATTAAGTTGTCATATGTATATATTAGG